GGGCGACCAGGCGCCCCCGGAGGTGTCCGGAGCAAAGCGGTCCCAGTACAAGCAGAGCCCGGAGGAGGAGATGGTCCTCGCTCGAGGTGACCAGGTGGACCGCTCCCGAGTGATTTCCCCTGAAAAAACATATCACCAAGGGACACCAAAAAACACGAGCACTTTGCATGGTGGCCGAAAAGGTGATGCTTAAAACCAAAGAGGAAATATAGGGAGCCCTGGCCAAAGAGACCTCTGGCCCTTCTGAAAAAAATCAAGTCGAAGGGGCTGTGGCTCAAAGTTGAGTCAGGGCCAACCGCAGGCTTTGGTCTTTTATTTCCATATTTAGGGGAGTCCATTTTGGGGAGTCCATTTTTTGAAACAGCCCCAGTGTTCCACTTTTTGCGGGGGTTCTGAAAATGGCCCAGGCGTTCTTTGGGCTTTTGCCATTTCTCAGCCTGCAATGAGGCGTTGCCCTTCTCTGTGGCTTCAGCACTCTCTCCATCTCCGAGCCCGCAGCTGATCCGCAAAAACGCGGATGGGGAAGGTCTCGTAGCGCACCTACCGAGCCGCTTCAAGCGGCACTTCTGCGGCTTCTGCGGCTTGAGCGAATCCATGCATGGAGAAGCCCCCCCCAAAGTCTCAAGGCAAATGGACGGAAGAACTTCAGGAAAGAAATGGACTGAGGATGAGCCACGGCAAAATGTCTGGTTGCGATGAGCCGGGGTCAATCGATCAGGGAATCAACGTGTACGTGGAGTGGTAGCAAGGATGAGTTGCTCATGGACGCGCAGCCTCGATTTCGATAGTGCTGGCACGCATGACCTTGGCAAGCTGCGCTCAAAGAGACGCCGAGAAGGCGAAGCGGGGCTGAGGCCAAATGTCTGGTGCCCGAAAAGAAGCCTCTGACCTGTCTGTCAAATCAAGAAAAGGTTCTTGGCATTCCTTGGATTTTGTTCAAAGCCTCGCTCTACAGCAAACGAACAAGCCGCCGCAAGCTTGAGACACTGACAAGCAAGGTGATGATCCGCGGCAGGTTCAGATTCCCTGGCACGTTCGGCCTTTTGAAGCCGAATTCGAATGCACGACTTAACTTGGCTCTCAGGGAATGAGGGGATGACCCCTATAAACCACCTGCTATGGTTTCCTTGAAGGAAATCCCTTTCCGGTTCAGCATCAAGGTATCAGTGAAATCCCGGCAGAGCAGCCACAAAGCTCACCTGTATAGGGCTTGATCAATCTTCCCTGACTTCGGCCCCTTTTGACTTTATTGACCATGGCGAACTGTTCCTTTGGTGAAAGCATCATATCTTGTATCACGGAGCTTTCGATCCCCCGCATAAAACCGCCCACATCCCACATCCCACGCAAGGTGGGCCGGCCGCCCGGCCCGGTGCGCCCCCTTTCTCCCACCTGGCGGCGCTGAGTCCGACCACCCGTAGATGTTCTTGACGTACTCCACGAAGATGAAGGAAAAGGCCGTGACGTTGCTGCCTGCGCCCACTTGGCCATCAAAATCCACAGCCAAATCGGTTAGCCCCCAGTGAACATCAACCAATCCAACTAAAATAGGTTCTAAAATGGGTGGTGAATTCACCTACCCCAAAGTGGTACCATTGGTTTTGACCCACAGCCACTTGGTACTTGCCAATATTCCAGGGGGCATTTTCAGCGCGAGCCATCGCCTGGTTTTGCGAACGGCCGCCGTGCCACGCGGCTCCATCTCTCTTGGGTCTGCTCAAAACACAAAACACGGCTAGCGATTTTGACAAATGAGTCAAAATCAAAATCCGGTAGTAGAATGGTTTAATTAAGAAGGCGGCCGCAGCTATTGGGATTGGCCCTTTCTAACCTTCATCTACCCGGGTTTTCATTGTGGCTCAAATGACACCTGGGAAGTGATCCACCTCCCGCCTGGTGTCGGCGTGTTCCCAGCCGTCGGCGGCCTTGCAAGGCGGGGGGGCTCACTCCCCAACAAAACCGGCGCTGCTGGCAGGGGGCCAAGCAAGAAGATTGGCAAGAATTCTCCATCTATTCTATAGTGGTTTGGAGCATTGGTGACCTTCTGGATAAAATAGCTGGCTTGTCCCGGAAAATGGGGCAGTGGAACCCATCTATTTCCATCCGAACTAACCGATCAAAAGGACGCCTATGGGCCTATGATCTGGAGACTCGCTTTCCACCCATTCCTGAAACATCTCCGCTCGGAGCCGGTTTGCTAAGCCCTCCACACAGCAAACTTCTCAGGGAACACGAAGACAGGGCTCACCTGGCAGCGCACTGAGCTCATGTCTGCCAACTCCGGTCTTGGATGGCTCAATGCAGGTGGAAGTCGTAAGAAGCAAGTCGACATGCTTCAACAAGCTGCTATTGCCGTGGATGGTTGAAATCGAAATCCATCGCGCAACACGAAATGAGACACCATGGTTGAAGCGGTTGAAGCCATGGCTTGTTACGGTATTTGTTTGGGGAATCGACGAAATCATCCCCGGTGGGTTTCCGAACGCCGGTCCGAGAAGCACATGGGATTTCGGCGAAGCCATCCAAGCTCCCTCTAACCTCCCATAAGCCAAAGCCAAAGGGCCAAAGGGCCGAAGGCCGTTCTGGGCCTGGTGTGGGGCTTGATATCATCTTCCCGGTTCAAGGCCCCGGTCATAAGGTTTGCTTCCGTCCCCAGCAACTTGTTGAGCACGGCTCACTTCTTTCTCCCCCAATTTTTTGCTGGACATCTCAACAAATATCTCTCCGACACCGATGAGACGACGACGACGAGTTGGCCCGCCGTTGGCCCCCTTTGCCGACTTCGTCCCAGGCCTGGCTCATGTTCCGGGTGCGGCCCATGTAGAGCACGAAACCCGGAGTCACAAAGCGCATCGGAGGAGCCTCCCGTGGGTTTCCGTCGTGCTGTAGCGGGCAATACGCGTCACGGCCACGCATGGCAACTGAGCAGAAAACACTATATATATATATATACATATACATATGTATATATATACATATATACAGCTAACATGATGGAGCGTTGCTCGCTTCTGAAGGATTTGGGTTTGAGGAAGTTACGCTCGTGCAGCCAGGCGCCCCCTCCGCACGGCTCATGCGTCGGTGCTTTTGTTTGCTGCTCTCAGAGACCAAGTGATGACCGCGACGCGCATCACGGTCTTGCCTCGATGCTTCTGGGCAGCATCATTCAGCAGGCCAAAGCCAGAGTAATGAAGCGCACCGGAATCCCACTGATCCCACCAAGGCCTCTCCCACCAAGCAAGCACAAGTAACGCCGAGGCGCTATGCACTTGGCTCTATGCACTTGGCTCTATGACTCTATGCACTTGGCTTTATGCACTTGGCTCCATGCACTTGGCTCTATGCACTGGGCTCTATGCACTCGCCTCTATGCACTCGGCTCTGTGCGCTTGGCTCTATGCACTCGGCTCTATCCACTCGGCTCCGTGCCCTCGGCTCTATGCACTTGGCTCTATGCACTTGGCTCTATGCACTTGGCTCTGTGCCCTCGGCTCTATGCACTTGGCTCTATGCACTTGGCTCTATGCACTTGGCTCTGTGCACTTGGCTCTATGCACTTGGCTCTGTGCGCTTGGCTCTATGCACTTGGCTCTATGCGCTTGGCTCTATGCACTTGGCTCTATGCACTTGGCTCTATGCACTTGGCTTTATGCACTTGGCTCTATGCGCTTGGCTCTATGCACTTGGCTCCATGCACTTGGCTCTATACACTTGGCTCTGTGCACCCGGCTCTATGCACTTGGCTCTATTTGCACTTGGCTCTATGCACTTGGCTCTACGCACTTGGCTCTATGCACTTGGCTCTATGCACTTGGCTCTATGCACTTGGCTCTATGCGCGGCTCTATGCACTTGGCTCTATGCGCGGCTCTATGCACTTGGCTCTGTGTATTTGACTCTGCGCAAGTGACTCTATGCAAGTTGGTCCGAGAGCTCCGCGCGGAAGAACCCTTCGCGATGCTTTCGGGAAGAAAAAACTGCCTCTCCCTGAACCAAGCAAGTACCCGCAAGTTGCCCAGATGCCCCGCCCCTGTGGTCAGCTGGACGATGACTTGCTTGCAGATGGTGTCACGCCTCGCAGTTTGTCACCGACTCGAACTCGAACGGCCGAGGGCCCCCGATTTTCTCATGAGACTGGAGCAAGGTGAACAAAAACTTGCTGGTGCTCAGTAGGGAATGACCGTTCCGGGTGTTGGGAATGAACCGGAAAGAGATTCCTTTAAAGAAAACCATAGGGGGCATTCGATTCCTCATTCCCTGCCTATCGAACCAGCAAGAAAACTCGGCAGCTTCGCAATCTGCAGATTGCAAATGGCATTAGAAAAACTGGCTGCAGGTCGGCAACAGGCTGCAGTTGTCCAACTTTGCAAGGGCGCTGCAACAACCACAAGATTCCTTCAATCTCCCCACCACGCGCAGGCAATCCAACCAATCTTCCGGGATGTGGCACTCCTATGAACCTGCATTGACAGCATCGAGTCTCCCGGCAGAACCGCAGCACGAGTGATGAGCTGGGAGACTTGCCTGGCAATCTGACCCATTCCTCCCTCCCGTCTCACCCTCACAATCCGGGGGTGTGTCCCACAGCGGTAAAATTGAGACCTGGAAAATGCAGCAGCTCCGGGAGAAAACAAGTAAAAAGTGCCAAGACACCGCTCGTCCTCCTTCTTTGCGCGGACGGAGTTCTCCTGCAAATGGCTCATGCTCTCTTTTTCCGTCCACGTTGCTTTTTCTTCGCTCCATGCTTCCTACCTCCAAAAGCCGCCGAACGCCGAAAGCCGACACCCGCTCGCTCGAAGCGACGCCCGACGCCCGAGGAGCCGCCCGAAGCCGAAACCCGCGGGTTGGCCCCCGGCCCCCCGGCCTCTGCGAGGGTCGCCTCCTGCCGCTTTCTATCCCGCTCGAAGGCGGACATCAAGGCGTAGGAGGCCTTCCACGCGGAAGACGGCGACGGACTGCGACGGTGTCCCGCATCTTGGACGTTCCGTCGCTATATGCGTTTTCTTCAACGGGGGATCCCAGACGGATCTCTCGTCGAAAACGTTTGGTGGGCCCAAGCCGAAACTAGCAAACGTATGCCTAAGCTAAAACAAGCTGAGGGGATGGCTGGGAGCCACCAAGAGAAGGGTCCCCCCATTTTGCCGCATTCATCATTCCCGGTTTGCGCCTTTCAAATATCCGTGAAGGGCTCAGCAAGCATCTGCCCGGGACCCAACAGCGCGAGGGAAGAAATACTTAACAGCAGGCAAGTCCAAAGCCAGCAAATTTCCCACTCATTCCACAATCTATGCAGGCCGTGTGGGAAAATTCTAGAGAGCCGTCATTTCTTTCCTCCCCCCCCCCACCAAGGCCGCAGCTTTTCTGCATATCGTGCCACACGTCCTAAGGCAAATCCTTCGCTTCCCGCATCTTTCAGGATCCTGGGCTTGTTCCCCAGTGCCTTGCTTTTCTCGCCACCGTCGGCAGCAAACTCCCCTCTCAGGAAGCACCCCCACATGAGTGGCTCGTCTTTTTTGAGTCGGTCACCCTTTTTGATGCTTCAAGGGAAACCAAAAAGCACCAAAACCCATAAAAGAAGCTTTAAAAAACCCAAGCCATTCAACAAAGGGACCACCCTTTCGCCATGTTGGGGAGGTCCAACACGGGAAGAAGAAAAAAACCTTCACCATGTTGGGGAGGTCCAACCGGCAAAAGAGCAAAGAAAAGAAGAGCCACCCATCTCCCCCCCCCCCCGGCTTCGGGCCGCGCGCTCGCGCCGAAACGCTCAGGTCTTGGACTTCTTCGCCATGGCCATGCGCCGGGCGTCCTCGGAGCTCATGAGCCCCGTGGGCCTCGCGGGTTCGAGCGGGTCGCCCATTTTTTCTGCACGGCAGTTCGCCATGCGGAAAGATGAAACTAGGTTGAATTCAATATGGGTGTGGGTCAAACTGTTCAGCCAGGATATGGACCGCAGATGTTTTTCTCCTTGGTTCTATTTACCAGGGTTCTATTTTGGGTACCCATTCTGAACCCACAGCCAAATGCCCCAGATGGGCGATCCGCCGTTGGATGGAACCCCTGTTTTGGGGCTGAAAGCTTACAGGGGAACAAGGGGAAAATCGCCAAATGTGCGCTAGAATCAAAGCAAATGTGGGTCATAATCAAAGCCGATCGGTACTAAAATTGCCGATCACTAGAATAAACAGGCGGAGAAGGCGCCCATTCGTAGCAAGGGGATTCTCCCTTGCCAACCTTCATCCAACCAAAAATCGGTTTTGAGCCAGTGGCTCAAATTCGCCCCCGCCCAAGAAAAGCCTTAGGGGCGACTCAACCTCGTGCATTCACAGGGTTCTGATACCGATAAGCCTCGGATCGAGTCTAGGGTACCGAGCAAGAATGTTGACAGTGGTGCCCTGAGGACAGAGACTTGACTCTGGCAACCGACACTGAATCACCGTAACCTCACCCCAAGCAAACCCCAACACCCACCCCAAGCCCACCCAAAAAATCCGCCATCAAGCAGAGGCCGACCCGAAACTGCCCGAACCAATGCTTTCAGCCGATCTTGAACCCCTCAGCCTACCGAACCCGTCCTCTCGGGCAGGGCTATGCAAGAAACGCGAACATTAAGCAAAAGGGGCCCTCGAGAAAAAGTGAAAAACACGATGGGAAAGGCCAGCAAGCCATTCCGAAACTCGCACCCCGCAGGCAAGGGGTGACCTGATGCTTGGGGCAGCAAAAAATATAGCGCCGGCCCAAAGCAACTAAGGCAGCCTCGAATCTGCCGTCAGTCAACAAACAAAACCCCAAACCCAAACCGAAATACCCCAAACCCACAACCAAAAACCAATGCTAAGCCCAACCTTAACCCAATTTCAACCCAACCTCAACTCCAACCCTACCACTCAGCCACTCAGCCGCTCAGCCACTCAGCCACCCAGCCAGTCAACCAAGCAACCAAGCAACCAAGCAACCAAGCAACCAAGCAACCAAGCAACCAAGCAACCAAGCAACCAAGCAACCAAGCAACCAAGCAACCAAGCAACCAACCCACAGCCAGAAATCAGACTTTAAAAAAAAAAATCAGAACTTCTGAACGTATGTCACCGTCTATATTTCTGCTGGGGCACACATCAAAGCCAACGATCTTCGCTTGGAAAACTGACATCCGCAAACCCAAGCCGATCTTCAGCGGCCGCTTTGGCCCTCCAGATTCACTTGTGAGTCGAAATCAAACCGCTCGGTATCAAAATGGTCTACCCGAATCCATGCAAATTAAGCAGGCGGCATCCAAGTTTATGGCAAGGGGATTCTCACCAAAAAACCACCATCTACTCTTTTCTCAATGGCCATTTCCGTGGTCATATGCCGGTGAACCAGCGGCACCCTCTTACCGCACCGCGGAGTCCCTCCAAAAAAGGGCGTGGCACCCTCTCCTGCCTGAGCCGCTTCCTCTCCTCCTCGGCGCTCTCGAGCCGCTCAGCCGGCGGCTTGGTCAGCGCATCGGACCAAAAGAGCCCGCAAGGCGGACGGCTATCGCCCACGAAATCCTGGCGGCTTTTTTTTTCCGGTGCCCGGCAACAAGCTTGAATCATTTGGATCCGGAAAAGAATGCAAATGTCTTCAACAGGAATAGAATGTCATGAAGGCCTAGATTCTGCAACGCATGCAATGGTGCCAGAACTGTGGGTGACTATGTGTGTGTGAGCGTTTTTGCCCATTGCTCCATTTGAGACACGCATAGCAGCGTTCTAAGTTGCGCCGGCAAGCGATGACCTCAATGAGTGGTAACCTGTCTCTGAGGTGCACAGAGATTCGAACCCTGTGAGAATCTTTCAGGAATTGGTACCCCATTTTGTGTGGATTCAAAGGGAAACCAAAAGAACAACCGAAACCATTTGTGTGGGGTTCAAATTCTAAAACCAGGCAAAATGTTGACCCCATATTAACCAACCCCAGTTTCTTCATGCGGGGGTGTCTCTGGGTTCAGTGGTGGAGCAGACCACTTTTGGGAGGGAACACTCCCTGTTAATAAAAAATGAGGTTGATAAATACTGTGGATGGACGAAATCCTGCGCCACTTGGAAACCATGGGAAACCATGGTTGGTCGGTGTTTACAGGGGAATCGCATCATTCCAGGGTTTCTTAGGCGGTGCGAGATGGATTGCGTCCATCCACAGTACGGGGTCAAAATTACCCATTTGGCGACTCTCATCTTCTGCCGCTCGGCAGGCGGAAGGCAGACCGGACCTCCGCCTGCGCGGTGGCGCCCGCCGCTTCGGCCGCCGCCAGGAGGGCGTCCATGTCATCAGCAGCCTCCAGGCGCGCAAAAAAAAGAAGGAAAACCGTGCGAGGCGAGCGACCGGCGCTGGTGGAGAGGTGGAGTTGAAGTGGAGTTGGAGTTGGAGCGGAATTCAGGACTTGAGTGGAGTAGCGCCGGGTCAAGTGGGATGGAGTTGGGATGTTGGGTTGTTGGTGGAGTGGAGTTGGTGTGACCGGAGAAAGAGGTCGAAAAGCTGTATGTACAGCCCGGTCAGAACGTTTCACGAAACAAATCCAGCAAAACCAAATATTCCCCCTGTTCTGCTGGAGGCCCGGGTTTTGTGCGCCACAACCGCTATACCCCTGTTACTCGGAATCAGCCCTAGATTGGCGATCGGCATGTTACATAGCGCCTTGGTAAACAGCCCGAGCCCTTGCTCCTGTTCCTTGGCCATCTGTGAACTCCAAGGCTCTCTTTGCAAAGTCACACATGGGCGCACATGGGCAAATGGCAAGAAGGCAGCCGCGTGCAAAATTCAACACTCGCCATGCGAAAAGCATGCGATAATCAGCACTGCCCGGCTTTTTCACTGAGACTTGCCACAACGACTCCATTTGAGGATCTCCCAGGCGGGTTTAGTTGGAGCTCCACGTCAGAGGCAGCGTTTGCTTGGGGATCTGTTGTGTGTGCCGCTGAGATGCAGGAAGGCTAAGCAACGGAACAATTCAACTATATCAACTCTCATAAAACTCTTCGAGGACAAAAATCTTCACATGTGGGTCAACTCTTCTCGCAGTCACAGAAACCCACGCATGTCTGTCCGACAGCCCGACGGCCCCAAGGGCCCGACGGCCCGGCCGCGCCTTCGCTTCGGCGCCGTCCGGAATCTCTGAGACCTCCTGGAGATTGCCACACTTTGTTGGCCCATGGAACCGAATTCTTGTAGGAAAGAAAGACCGTGTGTGTATATATATATATATATCGTGATGGAGGATTCCGGTGCCTGTTGAATTAGCGACGCGCCGGAGCGAGTTGCCATGTCCGCAAACAAGACCTGAACGCTTGCAACCCAATAAGCGCCTTGCAAGTCCTCTCCACCCTAAACCGCTGGTGTTTCTAATGCTGACCCCCTATTCATCCACTCCAGTTTATTAAACTCGGGGGGTGTCCATTTCGGCGTGAAATGTCGGGAACCAGACCACTTTTGGAGGGGCCAAAACCACCCCCTATTAAATAAACTGGTTGGTTGAAATTTATATGGGGTCCACATGAAGGGAAACGCCACTCCTTTGGCGAATTTGTCCCGACGTGCAACTCGGCCCCTTTGCTTTTGACCCTGACAGCTGGGGAACCTCCTCACCCACTCGCTCGGGCGGACTCAGAATTCCCAGCCTGGCTTTGCAAACCAGAAAAGGGCTTGACGGGATCGATGCAGGGGACTGGATCAAAGCCGTGCTGGCAGCCCATGAGCTTCCAAGAACCCCCCCAAAAAAAAAGTCGAGCCGGCGTCGTCGTTGGTCTTGCCCTTCGCAAAACTTTAGGATTTCCCTTACCCTCTCTCCCACTAACATGGCACCCGACAAGGGGTCCCTCCAAAACTGATCTACCAGACATCCTCCCACAGGTGCCATGGCAACGTGGGAGTAAGGGTGCCCATTTGGAGCTCCAAAACGCCTCACGGCATAGCTGGTGCCAAAACGCCTCATCCCTCCCCGGTGCCTGGACCTTCCGCACGTAGTCCGCCGGTACCTCACTCACGGAGCCATCCTCCCAGGTGATGGACAGGCCGTCCTCCAGGATGCCCTCAGAACGGTGACAAAACGGGTAGGATGCTGCCAGATCCACTGATCTCTGCGTTTTCGGCCGGAATATCTCGATGTTTTGATTTTCCCCCCGAAACTCGGCATGCAAGTAAAGAGTTGTATTGCTTCGTTCTGAAACTCGGCATGCAAGTACAGAGGTTATTTTTATCTCAGCCAAGGCCGCTGGACTCTGTAATGCTTGAGGTCCAACTTTCTCCCTCTAAGGCAAACGATCCCCGATGGGGTAGGTTCACTCCGGAGACATGGATCGTTTTTGCAGACTTGCCTACCCGGCATGGGTGTGTCCATCCAAAGCTACGCCTGCGCTGGGGGCCTGACGGCGACCTCCGCAGGCAGCCATTGGTCATCGTCCGGCCAGTAGGCCTACCGCCGAAGAACAATGAGGTCAGCTTCCTCACGTCGGATGTGTTTTTTTTGAGCAGAGCCACCTGTTTTTGGTGCGTTTTTGGCAAGCGTTTTTGCCGGATGCAAAGACCCCAACTAAAAGCAACTGCCAACTGTGCCTCTCGACATGTGACTTAGTGACTAGTTGCTTCGATCCTGCCTCCACTGCATCGCCCACGGACACCATGGCAACGAATTCGTGGCCCAGTCTATGTTTCAGTTCAGTTTGTAAGACTTGGGGCGTCACTTGTCTACCTTCCGATGCCATGTGACCATCAAATCACCATTTTTGAAGTCGCAGATCTCGAAGCAGAGCCTTCAGCTTCAAAGGCTGCGGGCCACATTTCTGTACAAAAAAAAATCTGCATCTGCTGCACATGTCATTTTCTTGACCGCGTGTGTTTCGTAAACTCTGACGGATCGATCAGAAGAACCAGGCCACTTTCTTGGAAGCTGAGCCGAAATTTGCCGCAGAAAAAGTGCTGAGCTGGTTTTGAGCAGCCTCCGACCCCGAAGCCCGCCTCCACTTGCGCAGCTGCGCGGAGGTTCGCCTCTGCCAAGCGGTCCTGCTGCCTGGCTTGCAGGAAGCGATCCCAAGTCTGATCATCCAAATGTCAGGCTCCCCTTAGTTTGTGGTTTGGATTGGTGGTTTGGGGATTTGAACCACTTGGTTCTTGTAGAGGGAAGCTGAAGTTGCTTGTGTAAGTAACTTGCCTTTCTTGATTGGTTCATGGCGATTCGTCGGATTCACCTCTTCAAATTGGTGGATTCAACAGACCGATCAGACTTCGGATGGAGATCTAGCTGAGATCCGGATCTCGCCTTGAACACATCGAAAAACATCTCGTTAAGAAGATCTCCGCATTCCGGATTCGCGCCACAGCTAGGTCTTTCTCTGGGAATCCTCTTTGGCCGAACACCCCGGTGACCAGTGGATCTTGTGGCAGGTTTACCCTTTTTTCCCTTTCCTTCCATTTGCTTAAGCCCCCGGAAAAAATAACATAATTTCCAGTAGTGAAATCGATTCCCTTCAAAACCAACAAGGGGAAAATATATATACAAAATCTTCATTTCAGCAAATGGGTGTCGATCAAGGCAGGCCATTTTTAGCGTCCCGCTGCCCGTTTAACTGGCACAACCACTGGGCTCCCGGGCTCGATGGCCTGCTGCACATCCAGCAACACCGGCAGCTCATCCTGCAGAAATTTCGATCCAGGCGATTTTGGGTGTTCGACATGGGGGTGTGGATCAAAAAACTTCCATTTTACGCATTTTATTGGCCCCCACATGACCATGGGTAACTTTCCCCATGTGGGGAATATATTCTTTTTAGTGGTTTTCATTCATGGTCATCCTATGCAAAGGACCCTTTGATCAACCCCCATATGTCCTTGTAAAGAAACAAGATGCGGCCACGATCCGGATAGATGTCATGGGCAGCATCATGGTTGCACATGAATGTGCTCCAACAAGAGCAAGGGTGTCCTGAACAGAATATCCCCAAGTCCCATGACAGTCCATCTCTAACTTGCTAAAATCAATGATGTGCTGCAATTTGCACGCGTTGGGTCGTTTAACATGCCTGCAAACGCATGTGTATGTACGTGGTATGCATATGCAACATAATGTATTTCTTTTTTCGTCGACCGTGTTGTAGGGAAAAGCGCCAGGAAGAAAGCGTACATAGTCTGGATATTCAGCGCTACTTGCCAGCGGGCTTGTCTCCACTTAGTCTTGAGCTCACTCAAGTGTAAGTCCTTTACGAAGACTTCACGGTTTGAAAAGTGGCGCTATGGGGTGAATCAATACTCCTGGCCTCCGCATGACCAATTGAGTGGCAAATATCATCTGTTTAGTGACTTCCCCCAATGGCCATGCCCATGTAAAGGACCTTTTGATCAACCCCTGCTTGCTTTCCGGGCACAAGAGTTACTGGCGCAAGCGCCTCACGCATTTGCTTGAATGAGTGCATGCTACCTGTGACGTTCCGCTTTGGCTTTCCCACGGTCTTGCTTCGGTTTCCGTGCGGAACCGTGCGGCTGTGGGGGCGAAGAACTGTCCGCACGCGGATCCCCCCAAAAATGCATCAGAGCAGAGCAGGGAGTAGCGAGCCCTTCCGAATCGCAAGCCATCCGGCGCCCAGCCCCATTCAACCCGAGGTAAGGACTGAGGAGTACCTTTGAACAGCCCATAATTTTGTGGTGCGGCCCTTTTTAGACTTCTAAACCCTGCGGTGCCTGCTCCAGGTTCCAAATCAAGGCCCCAGCGCCCTCAGTGCGATTCCCGCCCATTTTCAGAGGCTTCACACACGCACACACAACACACACCACTCGGCACTTCAATTTCAAGGTGCCAAGGCTTCAGGTGCCCAACGAAACAATTCTGAGTGGAAACCGGACCCCTCCAAAGCCTTGGCTTCATGTTGGCCCTGGATCATGACGCTCTCAGCGGAGGCACAAAGCATAACTCAAAGCCTAGGAGCATCTGAGATGTGGGTCTGACTTTTTAAAGGGTACCCACCCCCCCTTGTTGGGGTGTTTTTGGGGTTTTATTGTTTTTGTAAAATCACCATTTTTTTCCGGAAACCCCAAAAAAAGACGACAAACCCCACGCCCAAGACAAAAAAAAAACGCCAATGGCCCGGGGTTTCGGCAGAGAGGGCCGGCGCGGGTGTGGTGGTGGTCGCCTGAGCTTAAAATCAAAACCGATCGGTATTAGAAGTGGACCACCCAGGTTTTGTCCACCAGTGTCCTTTTGTCCACCCAGAATCATGTAAAGAATTGTCCTTTTTGCCGGCAGCAACTCTTTTTCCGGTGGCACTGTCCCTAACCTTCTCTGGGTTTTGTTTGTGACTCACCTAAGCAACCTGCGACAACCTGTGATACACCTTGGCAAAGAGTGTATCAGACCAAAAAGCTCCTTTTTGCCCCCTTTTCCGTAGGAGTCGGGTTTCAACCAGGTTTGACTCACGCGTCTTTAAGACGGAGCCGTGCGAGCTGGAATTGGTCGTCCACTTGCGCAGATCGAACCTTCCAAGCCCAAACTCAGGACACCCAGGCACCACATGCTCCCAGCACACGCGTGCAACGCGGAAGCCTCTACACAAAACGGAGATGCACAAGCGATACGCGGGAGATGCAGCGGCGGCAGGGTTCAAACACTTCGCTTTGCTTCTCCTGTTGGCAAGCTTCAGAAGAGCTAAAGGCTCTTAAACAAAATTGCATGCAGTGATATGTGTCTGTTGTGTCTGCGTCTTCTCACAGCCACGGCATCAAGCAGGGTTTGGGCTGACTGAACATCCAGAAAACTCCACATTATGCTTGTTTGAATAGCTCTTATCAACTCCCTGATTGACCTGTTTGCGCCTAGCGCTACAGGGCTGTTAAACTGCTCTACCTGAGCAATATTCAATATGAGGGGGGCATAGGGCGGTTGTATCGCTCCTTGCACGGCCACTGAAAACTTTTAGCACGTCCCTCAGACTGCCAGAGTAGACTGAGCATTCGGAATGGATGCGGCCAAAGCACCGCTCTCCCCAAGTGGTTCTCAAACAAAACGCCAGCTCAAATCGAGTGGGTGCGGCGGCACATGGGGCAACTTGTGTCTTCGCTCCTGCTCCACCAATTGCGGATGCAGCTATCATGGAAGGCGTGGGAACAGCTGAGCTGGGCTGCCATTTGTCCGGCCTCCTGCATCTCTAAGCAGATCACACACACCTCATCTCGGCAAAGCTGGACTTCTCTCACTTCGGTGACTTCTTCCTTCTCCTTCTCCTTCCCCTTGCCCTCCTCAAGTCCCTCAAGTGCCTCAAATGCCTCAAGTGCCTCAAGTGCCACACGTCTCGGCTCCTGCACCCCAGGCCTGGACCGCCGTGGAGACCCGACGCAGGTCACCACCACCATGAAGGTGCAGAAGAAGACCAGCAGGCCCAGCGCCCATGCGGCCGTCGACAACGCCATGGAGCCAAACAGCTCAGTGGGGGGCCTTCTCCCTCGGCAAAAACGACGCAGGAAAAGAAGAAGGTTGCCCCCAAAAAAGGGCCCAAGTTCGCCTCGCAGCCCGAGCTCAGATCTGGTGCAACGCCTTGACTTCCAGCTTGGCCATCCCCAAAACTCACAACGTAATGAGCAAACTCGCTCGTCTCGCCAACAAAAGATGCCAACAACTCGGCTGGGGCTCCCGCGAACTGCAGCTTGCGCTCCCTGAGCTGCGCAAAAGTTTCTCGCTTTCTCGCTGCCAGTGAAGCAGCAAGAGTACCAAATGTACAGGGCTTGGCAACGTGTCACCAGCTTAAACCGTCACCAGTTTGAACACTTGTCTAAACCAATAGCAGAGCTGTATGCTTCAGGACCGCTTCTTAGGTTGCGAAACGCCGACCTTTTTTGGTGGGGGATTTGTCCCACGCTGTTGGGAAGTTTTGTCCGTTTCATTTTCCGGTCCCTTTTGGAGTGGTTTAAGGTGGGTCCAGGGCGCGCTTAGGGGTTAGGGTGGTTGGGGGTTTTGGGGTAGGCTTGGGGTGGGTTCATGGTCGGGATAGAAGCTGACGTGCGGACCGGGATGGGGGGTACGCGCGGAAGGGGAATAGTAAGCTGACGTGCGGATCGGGATAGGGGGTACCTGACGCGCGGAAGGGGGGGGGGGGGATAGTGGGGATAGCACCCAGCTGACGCGCGGGTTGGCGTACCTAATGCGCCTGCTTGCTTGCTTGCTTGCTTGCTTGCTTGCTTGCTTGCTTGCTTGCTTGCTTGCTTGCTTGCTTGCTTGCTTGCTTGCTTGCTTGCTTGCTTGCTTGCTTGCTTGCTTGCTTGCTTGCTTGCTTGCTTGCTTGCTTGCTTGCTTGCTTGCTCGCTTGCTTGCTTGCTGGCTTGCTTACTTGCTTGTCTTTGCTTGCTTGTCTTTGCTTGCTTGTCTTTGCTTGCTTGTCTTTGCTTGCTTGTCTTTGCTTGCTTGTCTTTGCTTGCTTGTCTTTGCTTGCTTGTCTTTGCTTGCTTGTCTTTGCTTGCTTGTCTTTGCTTGCTGGCTTGCTGGCTTGCTGGCTTGCTGGCTTGCTGGCTTGCTGGCTTGCTGGCTTGCTGGCTGGCTGGCTGGCTGGCTGGCTGGCTGGCTGGCTGGCTGGCTGGCTGGCTGGCTGGCTGGCTGGCTGGCTTGCTTGCTTGCTTGCTTGCTTGCTTGCTTGCTTGCTTGCTTGCTTGCTTGCTTGCTTGTCTTGCTTGTCTTGCTGGCTTGCTGGCTTGCTTGCTTGCCTGCCTGCCTGCCTGCCTGCCTGCTTGCTTGCTTGCTTGCTCGCCCAGGGGACTGGAAAAAGATTCCCAATCCAGCGGGAAAACAATAATTCATATAGCACCCGCGAAAAGAGGGGCAAACCCGGTCTGCCCACCCCAACACGTATCCTCCGTGTCTCTGGTTTACTCATGTTGCGACCAGGCAACATCCTGTTGCAAATCCAGCATTATCCTTGCTCGCCAAAAGATGTTAAACGATGATGTCGTTTGCGACTAAGCCTTGTCAGTCCAAAATCTTAGCCCCAGTTGGCTCGGCGACCGGGCGTCTCATTTAGCCTGGCCAAGATCCGAAGCTGAGAAGAGGGGTGGGGAGTGGTCTCAAGCCATCGGGAAGGTTGCTATCCCTTCCGGGTGAAATCCTTGTCAGGGGTTCAATGGATCTCAGCACAGGCAGCCTCAAGATCATTCCTACCATTGGGGACTTGAGGGCTACAACAAGGTTCTCCGCGCAGGATGGCCCATCAACCAAGCAAGGCCGAGAACAAACCAAATGTGTTCGGTGAAACCAGCAAATGTGCACCCCATATTGGTCAACCCCAGCTTATCAATAGGCGGGTGTCCGTTTCTGTGTGAAATGTAGGAAATCAGCCCACTTTTGGAGGGCCCAAAAACCCCCCTATGAAAACCAACTGGTTGGTTGATGAACATCTGGGGTCAACGTTACTCTACCACAAGTTGAGAGCAGCTGTGGGTGTTGGACGCTCGCTCGCTCGCGGCCTCCGTGCCGATGCCAGCGCGCTGGCGACGGCCGGGGCGGCGGCGGCTGAAGCCGCGGACGTCTCATCCACTGGGCACCTGGCAGCTGACTGCGTGGCAGCTGGAGGTGCCGGGCCGGGGCCTCACGGCCCCCAAATGGCGTGATGGATGGGCATTGGTCCCAACATCCACGTCGCTGGTCTCAAACTTGCTAGGCAATGAGGGAATGACCAAAAATTAAACCATGCAACTGGTGGGTTTGCTTTAAGGGGACCAGGTTCATTCATTCCCTCATTCCCTCTGCGCGCCAGCAAGTACGTAAAGGAAAGCAGCTTGCCATGCAGAAGGCAACATGCAAGGCGCCGGCCACTCAAACAGCACGGCCATGCCTGGGTCCGTAAAACCAGCAAGGCGGGTGCTCGCAATTCGTCCTTGGGTTCGGCCTCAGTCGACCACCGTCAAATCCAAATGAGTTGCTCCCTGACAAGGCAAAGTGGATGATTCTTCGCATCCAACATTTGAACGGAAAGAGCCTTCCCGCATGAAATGCCTACATTGCCCAATTGTGTACTCAGTCCAGTTTGGCCTCTATGGCTCTGAAGAGGACCACTGCCGCCAGTGTGCAGCACTGCAACAAAGAATTCTTCTGCTACCTTCAGTGTCGATTTGTTGCATCCAGGTGGATTATTTCTATCTCTAATCAAATTTGGCCATGGGTCAAAATCCTGTACCCCTAGTGAACATCCCAATCCCCACCAAATAGGTTCTAAAATGGGTGGTGAATTCGCATACCATACCAACCAAAATGGGATCCCAAGACGGTTCTGACAACCACAGCCATTTTATCTTGTGTCTAATTCCTGGGAGAAAATGTCGAGCTTTTTTGGCCCCAACCGTCTGACCCTTCCCTTTGTGAGGCCCGGCGAGTCGCAGCACATGAACTTGTAAGCCTTGCGGTTTTCCATGTGGATGCCTGGCCAAACGACTCTGCATGCGTTACCCTAGCTCTTTAATTTCGAGCCACGCCCACATGTGGCTCAAAAAAGTGGAATCCATTTTTGGGCCTCTTGGATGGAAACAAAGACCATCTGCGTAACCCCAGCCCTTAAATTTTGAGCCACGCCCACATGTTCACTTGCCAAATACTGCCAATTTCGCAGCCAGCGGCACTGAACTGCAAGTCCGAAACAAAGAAGCAAAAACAAACATGGCAGAAACAGGCGCTGCTGTCCCTCACAGTCTGTGCTTCTCAGAAAGTGCGTATGCACCAGTGCCATCTAAAGCTCGCTGGGGTTGCACATCAGCCACACCATGTCGCAGTAGGCACTCTGGCAGGTGTCGATGACACGCTCGTCTGGCCGGTGTCAGGCTTGACTCAGCACATGGCTCTGCACAAACTGAGACAACCACATCATGTGGTTTGGATTGGTGGTTTGGTGGCTTAGGAGGCGATTCCCATTCACCATCCACAAAAGTGAGGGCTTCAAATCCCCAAACCACCAGTCCACATCACCAACTAAGGGTTACCGGAATCCAAATCTCCAAGCGCCGATGTTTAGGGCGAAGGTGCCCAGCAAATGGATCCCAGCTTGGCTTTTTGGGGCACCCTCTTCGTCTCTTCCTCGCTTTGCGCAACCCAACGTCGCCTCGGTAGGGCAGCGGGTGGTTCTGTGGCAAGCGCCCGCTGAAGGTGCTGAGGACGTGACTGCGGCGAGGAATGTTTGGACAAAAAAAACGCGCTGCCATCGACCAATGAGCCACAGTCAAAACCAACAGGGGCGTGAATCAACCCGTTTGATGTATGTCAAAACTCAGAAATCCAGTTGAGTTAGAATCAAAACCCGGTATTAAAATGGTAAACCCAGAACCTTGCGAAGAATTCAGAAGACGGAGATCCGCAGCCATTTATGGCAAGGAGATTGGCCCGATCACCTTCTACCCGAATCGGTTTTGGCGGAAGGGCTTCTATCGTTTTTCCCCCCAGGTTCGGCGCGGGCGCGGAACCCGGCCTGAATGGGCGGTCCCGATCCAAGCGGCGGGTTCACATGTTCGATCAAGCACAACGGGGGGTTGGGCTGGGCTTGGGTTTCTTTCGGGTGGGTTTGTGGATTGGTTCAGGGTTGGTTTCGGGGGGGGTTTGGGTTTGCTTAGGGTTTGCCGAGGTTGATGTTTGGTGGTTTCCTGGTTTACGGTGGTTTAGAGTTGGTTTTGGTTCGGCTTAAAGCTGGCTCAGGGTTGGTTTAGGGTGGTTTAGGGTGGGCTTAGGGCTGGTTTAGGGTTGCTTTAGGGCTGCTGTAGGTTTGGGCTGGTTTAGAGTGGTGTGGGGTGGGTTTAGAGTTGCTATAATGCTATAGGATTGGCTAGCTTCTTCAGGGTTGGCTCAGGGAAAAGGGCGGGCTTAGGTTTGGTTCAGGGTTTGCATAGGGTTCGTTGGGTTGGCTAGGGTTGGCTTCGGGTTGGTTTAGGTTGGGTGTTTTTGTTTTTGTAGGGCTTCTTCAGCGCGGATTTAGCGTGGGTTTAGGGTGGGTATTTATTTGCGGTTTGCTCTGGGTGTAGTGGGAGTTTAGAGTTGGATTAGGGTGGTTTAGGGATAGTTTAGGGCGCTGGTTTGGGGTGGGTTTGGGGGTTATGGTAGGCTTTGGCTGGCTCAGGTTTAGGGTTGGTCGGTTTAGGGTGCTGGTTTGGGCTGGGTTGCAAACACCATCCTGGAAGCTGGGAATGCGGGAAGGCAAAGCTACGACAAACAACAGCCAAAAGCCGCGAAAGCCAAAGAAGCACCCGCCCACCGACGACCGACCGACCCACCGACCGACAGGAGAAGAAAAAAAAACAAGAGCTCGGGGCCCGAATTTTGACTGCACCTCGGCCAAGAAACACACCAACACACAAACACACGCTCAAACACACGCTCAATCAAACACACGCTCTTGGCGGGTGTCGCGATGATTTGGCCTTGGGAGAGCACACTGACAGTAAAGCCGCCAAAGTCAATACAGTCATGTCCGTTTGACCGCTTGCAGGTGAGGTCGCGTTGGTGTCCGGCAGAGCTGGGCAAGATCTGCGAACTGCTATCGACTTCAAAGAAGCTTGATGCGGATCTCAGCCATTCAGACAACATGCAATCTAAGGCGGGCAACCCTCCCGAAACGGTGATGTTGATCCGTGAGTCATGACTCCAGTTCAGGAATGCCCTTCTTCCAGAGCGTTGCCTAATTCCTGTCAGGGGAATCAAGCAGGGGTCGACCGTGCTGGATTTCCCCTTGCAAAGTTGATCAATTTTGTGGCGTCCATGGACACAATCGCCACTTTTGGAGCTTCCAAGAGAAATGGCTCGGAAACCCTGGTGACTCAACCCAACACCCGAAGAAAGATGGCTCTTCGTGTTGTGCCTCGCCATAATCTCGTCCTCGTGCTCCACCGTGGTGTACTCAAAAGTCTCGCCCCGAGTATTTTGGTACCTGACGAAAACTTCCCTTGAGCTCTTGGTCTGAAGCGGAGACATTGGCGCGAGTGTGCGCAGAACAAACCTGAAATGCCATCTCGAAAAAAAATGGCACTTGAAAGCCCCTCAAAAGGAAACCAACCAAACAAGTGGAGATTCCATGAGGTTCACCTATTTTTGAAACACACCAGGCAAAATAAAGCTGCACAGTACAAGCAATTGAGCATGACTCGGCATCCATTGCGATCGCATTTCTGGAATCGGAGAGTGATGGCAAGCTAATCAAAAAGCCAAAAGCCACCCGAGCTGGAAAACGAATGACGGAAAAGGAAGTGCTTCAAATGGCTGTGTTTGTCTCCAAATCAAACCCCCCATCCACCCACTCCACCTGCCACCCCTCCCCCCCCCCCCCCCCAAATCTCCCCCGTGGCGCACTTTGACATCCCCAGCGAATTCCCTGTGGCTGCTAGAGCCGTTTCGGCCCCAGAGTTGGGCAGAATGTTGCCAAGGGCGTACAGGGAGGCCTACGCAAACAACTTCACGGGCAGCAACTCCATTTTGGCTCTAATTCGGGTATGGGTCAAAATTAAACCACTAGGGGACCGCAGGGGTTTCCATTTGCCAGGGTTCCTACCTATTTTTGACCCACAGCCATTCGATACCTTGTCAAATCTGGCAAACGGGGGGCATTTGCCTGCACCCCGCACACTTGCCACACACACACAGGCGCTCGCACACTCTCTTCGTTTCCTCCTGGAATACAACCGACGCATTCGGCATGCGGTCAGAGTCGCCTCGATCAAAGATGGATCGTTCACGTTGTAAAGGCCTGGCCAGGGCAGAAGCCCCTCACGGCTGGCCACAGCTTTTGCTCTGGCCTTCGCCTTACTGGCTGTTATACCACAAACTCACTTGCTCAAAGGAATTAGAAAAAGGCGAACCTTTCGGGGCCTTTACTAAATGTGGATCAAAAATGGAAAACCAAAAGGTTAGGTCGGATTTGAGCAGAGCCACACCCGGCAAGATCTGAGACCGGATCTCGTGGCGGAGTTTGCTGGCCGCCCGAAACCAATCCATCCCACGTGCCTGCGTTGGCGTAATTCTGGACCATGTCCTCCAGAACGTTCATGGACGTTTCATCCTCGTGCAGTGGAACGCAGAGCGAAAAAACCAGCAGCGGCAGAGGGGTTTCGTCAACTGACCTTCGGATTGCCCAAGGTTTTGGGCCGAACAGCCCTTTAAAAACCTCGTGGTCTGGTGGCTTCAGCCCAAAACACGCCGAAAAAAAGGAAAAGAAACGGACACGTCCTTCATGCCCGCGTCGATGATGCCGTTGATGACCACAGCCTCTGAGAGTGCCCAAACATGAGACGCAAGTGTCCAAGTGTACACTTCGCCTTCACAGTCTGGTGGAAACGCGAATGAGTTTAACATAGAACATGATGAAAAGAGCAGGGCCAACTAGGTCGAATCAGCTACATGCTTGATCATCTTGATGGATCCGGCGGCTACGAGTTGCGCCTGGTTCACCGCAGTGTTGATGGTCACTGGGGCTTCATTGGTGTTGGTGATCATGACATCCCGAACCTGATCCAAGCGACGCCCTCGATCCTTTTTTCTTCCCGCATTCCTAATGTTGACCCCAGATGTTCATCAACCAACCAGTTTATTCATATGGGGGTGGGGGGCCCCTCCAAAGGTGGTCTGCTTCCCAACATTTCACCCAGAAATGGACACCCCCCTATTAATAAACTTGGGTTGGTTCATATGGGATCAACATTCCTGTGGATGGTTGCGAAGTCCATTTTGAACCAGCCAACAAAGTCTGGAATCAGGACCCTGCAAATACCAACAAACAACACGGTAACTCATTTTGTGGACCGCGAAATGAAAATCTCGCCACCATCCACAGTTCTAGGGTACCTCCCCCATTCTTTCCAGGGATCCGAGTCTTTCTAGAAAACCTCTGGAAATCCAGGGAAAACGGATCCGGTGGTTGAAAAGAACGATGGTTGAAAAGAATGGAAATGGAATCAACCCCTAGAACGTATATGCCCGCGGAGTCAGAAGTCAGACTCGCTTGTTCGGAGTCGTGTCAGAGCGCCTGGGTCAAGATCGCCGTCAACTCCGGCGAAGGCTGCTGCCCAGGCGGCAGCGACGGCGCCTGAAACGGGGCTGGCACGGAGTCTCAAGGGACGCAAAGGGGAACCGAAACCAACTCGGTTGCGAAATCTGCTCCCCTGCTACAAGTTTAAAACTTGTCGTGGTTTAATACGGAGAACCCACGAGGCCAAAAGTTGAAATCCTGACATCTAAGCAAAACGCACCAAAGAAAAGCGAAGCAGAGTCGTTGACGTCATGATTGGCTCTTCACATGGGCTCTCCCCTGTGGCTCAACTCGAACTCACTCACCCAATGGCTCTTGCTGTTCAAAGCTTCAGACTGCGAGCCTCGAAGCTTGAAAAGGCCATCGTGTTTTGCATTGCCACCTCTTGCTCGGGTCACGCCTGTGCGATGTTCAGGATCGTCATGAGGGTATTGATCGCAGTTTCCGGATCTGAAGTCCTTGCATCCTGGCGCTTGCGGCACAGGCCAAGCGGCAGGAAACAAATAGAAGGACGTCAAACATGCTCTGTCGCTTTTTCCTGGGACGAGCCCACTGCATACCTTTTGGACTGCCTGAAGAGTAGCAAACGCCTACGCCCGAACTGATACCCTGCTTCTTATCTCACGCGAATGTTTTGATGGGTTTCCCATACTTGACCAGACTGTGGACGGACGAAATCCTGCACCACCTAAGAAACCATGGGAAAAGATGTTTGTTGGTACTTGCAGTGCATCGAATCATTCCAGGGTGTCTGAAAGGTGGTGCGAAATCGAAATCGCAACCTTGAACATGGCTATAAATTTACGTGGGTTCCCTGAAACGTGGGAGCTGGACATCGAGCTTCCGCAGGATGATTTCCGTGGCGTTCTTCGGTGGCAAGCTGAACACCTGCCGTGAACCCCCAGCCCCCAGCTCTGAAAAAAAAGCTTGCGATGCTTCTTTTGCGAAGCGCGAACAAGTCTCATGCAAAGAAGTGGGACACTCCAAGCTGGTGATTGCTGCGAATTGCGCTGGAATAACAAATCTAGGTGTTATAATTATAATAGACAGTGTCCCTTTGCGAAGCACCGGTGATTGAAATGCGCAATTTGTGGTTAAGTGAGGCTGTCGCTTTCTGATGCACCAGTGTCACCCTTGGACTTAGCACAGCCGGTCGAACCCGCCTGGATGGTCTTTGTGGTTGTTGCGCCAAAGGGCGTGATGATATCCACAAAGACTTCCCTCAGTGATTTGATTGGGATTAAACGCGATGAAATCGAGCGAGACAGCTCTGACATCGTTCCTGCAAAGCCTGCACTACTCAAAAGTGCTGTGCAATTTAGCAGGCCTGCCGGCCGTTGGCTACTTAAAGACAAATTGATGCTCGTTGCCCGTTCGCCCCAGGCATCAATGGACGGCCGACAAAGCCTTGCCACCGGCTCACGCCTTGCTGCTTGAACGTGAAATTGGAATTGCGGACTTTCCTTTTTTAAGGCGCACAATCCCGCTCTTGTTACGAAGACCCACTTGGATGTGTGCTATTCTTATTCGTGTTCTATGTTTTTTCTTTTTGGGGGGGGGGGGGGGCCAGGGACTCCCCAACATGCAAGGTGGGAAGAGTCCACCTGGCTGGCCCTTGAGAGGTCCCACTCGCTTGGCAGCCGGGCAGGGAGAAGCCAGTGGAAGGCTCGCCAATCGGCAGCTCATCCACCTGAGTCGCTGAGATGGACAAAGCAACTCGCCGTCTTCACGGCGCAACATGTATGTAAAGAAACATATATGTATACGTGTATACGTGTATATATATATATATACACGAATAAACAAATATATATGTAACATGTATGTAGTACCTCTATACATATACAATGTATATACTCGGGCGGACCGTTTCCCGCTTCCCAATGGCTGCAAAGGTCGTTTGCTGCAATGGCATGGATGCCGCGGCGTCCAAGCGCGACCTTTGAGAGTCGCTCGGCTGCATCAAACTTCATTCAAAAGTGCATTACCAAAATCCACTTCTCGAGACCGACAGGAGCTCTTCGTTGACTAAGGTGGTTGGCACGCACCCAGCATCAGCAGTCCTTCGGTAAAGGAAATGCTTGTCCGTTTCCTCAAGGTAGATGTCACGATGGTTGTCAACCAAAATAGTCGACATCCCCAGCATCACCTAGGCGGCAGCACAATTCTTTGCATAGCCAATTACGAAATTGCACTTTTCGAGACCGACATGGGTCGGACTTTGTTGACTAAAGTGGCCAGCACCCCAGCGTTACCAGTGTTGTAGTAACGGAAATGCGTTCCCCTGTGTCGCGATAGGTTGGAGACTGCAGTAGTTGACACCCCCAGCATTGCCAGTTTTTTTTTTTTGCTGCTGGCTGCTTGGCACCCTCGGCATCACCAGTACTTTAGTAACGAAATGAAAAAGCGCTAGTTCCCTCAGAAAGAAAAACTGAAACTTGCCTCGACTGCAAAAGCCAGGCATTGGACTGTCATCGGAACCTTAATGAGAAAATGGTTTCCCGGCTGTCAACATCTTTAGCATTGCTCAGCACTTTTGCAAACGCTGTCCGTACGTAGTCGACGCCCCCAGAAAGCTTCTCCGCTCACAAAAAGTAGACGTCGCGGCCTTCACCTAAACGACTTTTGACCGCCGCTCGGCATCGATCGACGTTGTGCTTTCCCAAGCCGAATTTGAGCCGGCGCGCTTCGGAACACCAACAGGGGCGTGAATCAACCCGTTTGATGTATGTCAAAACTCGGAAATCCAGTTGAGTCATAAGCAAAACCCGGTACACAAATGGTTGCCCCAGAACCATGTAAAGAACTAAGAAGGCGGCCGCAGCTATTTATGGCTGGGATCGTCCCTTACGAACCTTCATCTACCCGGGTTTTGATTGTGACTCAGTTGCCTAGCTCACTTCCGCCGGCCTCGATCTGCTGCACCCGCTGCGGCGCTGTGTTCAGGCGTACCGTGATCGGCTGCATGCCTGGCGCGATCTGTCGACTCGGGCGGTAGGCAGATGCCGACGGGCCGGCGCGTCGGAATCACTCGTCGCGCGGAAAAAAAGGAAATTGCGAGGCGCAAAGCAGGTCACAAGACAAGTTGCTTGCTCACTGGCTCCATTTTCCGATGAATGGATTGCCTTTCAAAAATTGGGGATCGTATATGATCGTATACTAGAGACTCGAGTCGTGCCTGGGGCAGTCGCCGAGTGGAAACTTGGAAAAGTTGTGTTCTTCGCAGAAGGCTACCCTTCCCACCAATTCACATGGAACCCGACAAAATGGTCCCTTTGAAAGGAAACTGGTCCAAACCAGGACACCCCAAAATGTCGACCGGTTCCATGTGAATTGGTGGGAGGATACGTATCCTCCCACCAACATGGGTTAGTGCAAAAAGCCCCAACTAACCAAGAGGAAAGTCTTCTTTCTACAGTCATCTCTGCACCAAACCATGTTACTTGGTGGGAGGGTAGTTGGATCGACGAAATCCATTTCGCACCACCTAAGAAGCCCTGGAATGTGTATTCCCCTGTAAATCCCAACCAACAATGGTGTCCCATGTACTATAAACTGGTAAAAATCCTCGTGGCTAACAACTCGTTCGCGGCTCACTGAGCTCTCACTCAGCTCCCACCACCCAGACCGTGGGGAGGCCGTTGGCTGGCAGGCCCTGAGGCTGGCCGCCCGCAGAGCCCAGGACGGAGTCGTGGAAGGTCTTCACCTACTGTGTGGTCAAAACCGTAAAAGGGGATCCCATTTTGGTGGGTGAATTCACCACCCATTTTGGTACCGTAAAAACGGTGCCATTTTGGGATAGGTGAATTCACCACCCATTTGAGTAAGTCTATTTTAGTGGGGATTGTTCATGTTCACTGAAATGGAAATTCCGACTCCCAGGTGGACCCCGGATGAACCCTGCTTTAAAAAAAATATAGAGGATAGGGATCGGGTGTTGGGGGGGGGGGTTGGACCGTCGACCCCCCCCATTCTCTAAATTCAAGTCGAACCCGGCTATGGAGGGGTGTCCCTGGCTTTAGTGGAAATTCAGCCCACTTTCCCCATATCGATTCATCCAGGGTCAACACCCTTCCTCCCACGAGCACAGTTCCTGAAAGATCATGTTCCTCTTGGGACAAGCATTCCCAGGTGCCTTGGCAACGCAGGGGAATGTGGAATCCGCCAGGAATCAATGACGAGAACGTCACGATCCGCAAGCGACTAGAAATTAACCCCCTCCCCCCCCCTCCACCGCTCGCAAGACACCAGCCTCTACGATCTGGCTCTCGCCATCCTGCGGCATATCTGGAATGTGCATGGGTCTAAATTCAAGCAAACCAGAGTGCATCAGCGGTGCTTCGATAAAGGCAATGTCGTTCCGTTTCTTAAAGGTAGATGTAATGATGGTCTGGCGCCCAAAAGAGTAAGAGTCGACACCCCCGACATCACCCAGTGTTTCAGCAAAGGAAACTGTCCGCTTGCAAAGATGCCACGACACAGTGCAACTCTTTCCTTGGCAAAAAAAAAAACAAAAACTCCCAGAACGAAGCCTTACGCATGCATCCACTCACTGGCTAGCGCTCAGTCATTGCGCACGCCGGAAATGCACCCCGCTCCCTCAGACTAACACCCGGAAGCTCCCGGAAGGCTTCTGCAAGTGGAAACCATTCGGGGTCCGTTCGGGAGCTTCCAATCGCCTGACCTGACACTCACCACCAAACGCCCACCTGCAAGATGGAGGCGGTGAACTGTTCCCAACTGCTTTGAGACCAAGCTTGCCGCACCTGCACCGCGCAGGAAATCTCGCCAGCTGAGGAACACATGGGTGTGGTTGGCAAAAATAGTTGGGTAACCCCAAAATGGCGCAAGCCCTGGATGGAAACAAGGACTAATTAAAACCTGCGGTCGATATCCTGGACCCATGCTCACATTGAACCAACTTGGCAAACTCTCGCAAAGCTCCACTCCTGCCCACCTGGCCATCAGGGCCGACGCTGAGCCAACCTCCATGAGCGTCTGACCGGAAAGCTGCGCGCTCCCGGCTTTCAGGAAAATAGCCTCACTTGCCGAAACTGGCAACACTCCAGCATAACTTGCACACATGTGCGTACAAGTGTGTATGTTTTCGCGTGTGAATGTACATTGGTGTGTGAGTGCTGTGTGTGTGTGTGCGCGCATGTGTGCGCGCGCGTGCGTTCCTCTGCGCGTGCGCGCGCGCGCCTGCTTGTGTTTGTGCTTGTTTGTGTGTGTGTGTGCGTGTGTTTGTGTGTGTGTGTGCGTACGTGTGTGCGCGTGCGCGCGCGTGCGCGGGGCGCGCGGAAACGAGCGCAATCGTGCCGCGGACTGTCGCGAGCGCGCGCACGCGCGCGCGCGTCCAAGTGTGCTGCGTGCTGCGTGCTGCGTGCTGCGTGCTGCGTGCTGCGTGCTGCGTGCTGCGTGCTGCGTGCTGCGTGCTGCGTGCTGCGTGCTGCGTGCTGCGTGCTGCGTGCTGCGTGCTGCGTGCTGCGTGCTGCGTGCTGCGTGCTGTGTGCTGTGTGCTGTGTGCTGTGTGCTGTGTGCTGTGTGCTGTGCTGTGTGCTGTGTGCTGTGTGCTGTGTGCTGTGTGCTGTGTGCTGTGTGCTGTGCTGTGTGTGTGTGTGTGTGTGTGTGTGTGTGTGTGTGTGTGTGTGTGTGTGTGTGTGTGTGTGTGTGTGTGTGTGTGTGTGTGTGTGTGTGTGTGTGTGTGTGTGTGTGTGTGTGTGTGTGTGTGTGTGTGTGTGTGTGTGTGTGTGTGTGTGTGTGTGTGTGTGTGTGTGTGTGTGTGTGTGTGTGTGTGTGTGTGTGTGTGTGTGTGTGTGTGTGTGTGTGTGTGTGTGTGTGTGTGTGTGTGTGTGTGTGTGTGTGTGTGTGTGTGTGTGTGTGTGTGTGTGTGTGTGTGTGTGTGTGTGTGTGTGTGTGTGTGTGTGTGTGTGTGTGTGTGTGTGTGTGTGTGTGTGTGTGTGTGTGTGTGTGTGTGTGTGTGTGTGTGTCTGTGTGTGTGTCTGTGTGTGTGTCTGTGTGTGTGTCTGTGTGTGTGTCTGTGTGTGTGTCTGTGTGTGTGTCTGTCTGTGTGTCTGTGTCTGTGTCTGTGTGTGTGTCTGTGTGTGTCTGTGTGTGTGTGTGTGTCTGTGTGTGTGTGTCTGTCTGTGTGTGTCTGTGTGTGTGTGTCTGTCTGTGTGTGTCTGTGTGTGTGTGTCTGTGCGTGTGTGCGCATGTGTCTGTGTGCGCATGTGCCACGCTTGGTCAAGTGGCAAGTAGACCATGCCTCCCAGAAGTGGGCCTCTTCGGCATCCAGCTTCCTCAGCGCAACTGTTCAGCTGGGTCTGAGTGTGTCTGTGCGCACGCCTTGGGCAAGACTCTGTCTTTGCTGCCTGTAGTCCAAAAAGATCTAAAAGGCTACGTGTGGCTCCTCAGGGCCACTTTCAAAAGTAATCTGGCTGCGGGTCAAAATTAGGTACCAGAAAACGAAATCCTGGTAAATGCAAACATGGACTAAAACCTGCTGCCCATATCCTGGGGGTTTGGTTTTGACGCATGCTGGCTGCGGGTCAATTAGGTACCAGAAAACGAAATCCTGGTAAATGCAAACATGGACTAAAACCTGCTGCCCATATCCTGGGGGTTTGGTTTTGACGCATGCTGGCTGCGGGTCAATTAGGTACCAGAAAACGACATCCTGGTAAATGCAAACATGGACTAAAACCTGCTGCCCATATCCTGGGGGTTTGGTTTTGACGCATGCTGGCTGCGGGTCAATTAGGTACCAGAAAACGAAATCCTGGTAAATGCAAACATGGACTAAAACCTGCTGCCCATATCCTGGGGGTTTGGTTTTGACGCATGCTGGCTGCGGGTCAATTAGGTACCAGAAAACGAAATCCTGGTAAATGCAAACATGGACTAAAACCTGCTGCCCATATCCTGGGGGTTTGGTTTTGACGCATGCTGGCTGCGGGTCAATTAGGTACCAGAAAACGAAATCCTGGTAAATGCAAACATGGACTAAAACCTGCTGCCCATATCCTGGGGGTTTGGTTTTGACGCATGCTGGCTGCGGGTCAATTAGGTACCAGAAAACGAAATCCTGGTAAATGCAAACATGGACTAAAGCCTGCTGCCCATATCCTGGGGGTTCAATTTTGACGCATACCCATCTGTCAATAACTTGAGCTTCTTTCTGGCGCTCACTAGCGCAGAAAAAGAAGCTGAAAGCGCTCACTGCCTTTGGCCGAAGCGCACACTCCCGTCCGGCTTCGCACTGAGGTAGTTCTTGGTATCCGCGTTCTGGATCGCCACGCGGCCGCCGTAGGTGCAGCTTTGCCTTTCTGGGTCGAAGAGATGAGGCCACTGCACCTTGGGGTGAAAAACACATGAGCTCCCAGGAGTGATAAACCCCTGCTTGGTTCATGCTACTTGACCTTGGGCAGTCAAGACCCACTGATCTGCAAGCTTGATGAGCCCGGGTCGACCTTAGACCAGACCTGGATCAAAGATCTAGTGTACGGCACCGACGAGAACCGGAAAACAAAAGGCACGCAGCACCCGGCCCAAGTTGGAAGACCCGGCCCCGTTGACGTCAAAAGCGTTCTTTCAGTTCTTTCCAGCGACGCTCAGGACCCGGCGAATTGGCAACCAAGCAAGACAAAGTACCAACATGCCAACATCCCAACATCCCCAGCTCTTCCGCAATTCAGGTTCCCGTCCCCACAAATGTTTTTCCGAAGCCGAGTCACATTCCAAACCTTCGCCACTGCGGACATACTCCATTCAGGAGACTGCCATGTGGCGGGGCGAGCACCAAACAACTGCTTCTGTCATGCGAGCGTTTGTCATCCCAGGGTTGTCATACATGAGACAAACAACTTGGGGCGAAGGTCTTGCAGCTTTTGCTTTGCCAGACACTGATTCCCCACAAAAAAACGATAGCTTTGAAGCCCTCCTGGTTGTCATACGTCCACATCAGGGATCC